TCTGTTTTCTACTTTCTTCAGCACAGTAGAGAGAGACGTGGGTAAGTAGGAAGTTTAGTGTTTGGGCGGGAAGTAAATTGATATATATTTAAAGGGGCTCATCTAATCCGTCTATCTAAATACACAATTGAATCATGACCGTTAAAATGTCCTAGTAGGACAATTGTCTCTAGGATAAATTCAAAAACCTTTCTCCCTTATTATATAGTTGCAGAATTTCAGCGTTAGGGACAATCGGATCACGGGTTTAGTACCCGTGTCTCTTAAAGCAGAACGGATGATTCCCAATATGTAGGATTATTCTATATAATAAAGCAGAACGAATTTTGAAAATATGTTAGACACAATTGTCCTACTAGGATATTTCAAGGGTCATGATTCATTTGTATATTCACATGGATGGCTCAGATAACCCCCTTAATTTTATATCAATCCTAAATATATATCTTCCCGCCCAAACATTAAGCCTCCTCCTTACCCACGTCTCCCCCACCCTTCTCTGCTCTCCAGCCAAATCACGTCTCCCCTCCATTCCTCTATCTTCCCACCCAAACATTAAGCCTCCTGCTTACCCACGTCTCCCCCACCCTTCTCTGCTCTCCAGCCAAATCACGTCTCCCCTCCATTCCTCTATCTTCCCACCCAAACATTAAGCCTCCTGCTTACCCACGTCTCCCCCACCCTTCTCTGCTCTCCAGCCAAATCACGTCTCCCCTCCATTCCTCTATCTTCCCACCCAAACATTAAGCCTCCTGCTTACCCACGTCTCCCCCACCCTTCTCTGCTCTCCAGCCAAATCACGTCTCCCCTCCATTCCTCTATCTTCCCACCCAAACATTAAGCCTCCTGCTTACCCACGTCTCCCCCACCCTTCTCTGCTCTCCAGCCAAATCACGTCTCCCCTCCATTCCTCTATCTTCCCACCCAAACATTAAGCCTCCTGCTTACCCACGTCTCCCCCACCCTTCTCTGCTCTCCAGCCAAATCACGTCTCTCCTCTATCCCTCTATTTACCCACGTCTCCCCTCCATCCCTCTTTATCTC